TTGTTGCTTCTGAGCTTGATGGCCGCTTGATTACCTTCAAGCCTTTAAGACCCCAGATGCTATACTTTTTGATAGCCGGGCACCATCTATCAAAAGTATAGCGTCTGGGGTCTTAGAGAACTTTTTCTTAGGTGAGATAAATTGGTATCTGGCAATTTAGCCTGTGAAATGGTACCCTGAGCTAATTAGGTTACAAATGCGAAGAGGGAAAGACTGATTAGGGCCAAACATGAGCATGAAGGAGCTCAACACGGAAATCTCAGCTGTCTGGGATGAGATCCTGTGCTGCCCTACAAATCATTCACACATGCATATGCACACACACACACATATGTATACGAGAGGTTTCCAAACGTTTATGAACAATTCAATTATCTTTCATTCCATGTCTGAAGTCCCTTGATATACACACACTTTAGTGGTACTGGAGTAGCCTGGTGGCCGAGTGGGTATGCATTGGGCTGCAATCCACAAGGTGAGCTGTTCGAAACTCTCAGGGGATCCACGGGAAAAAGGGATGGGTTTCTACTCCTGGAAACAGTTATCTGTAGTCTTGGAAAGGAAAGGACGGTTCTATCCTGTCTCCTGTCTTATATGTCACTAGGAGCCGGCACCAACTAGTTGGCAGGTGATGCACAGGGTACAGAGGAAACTACCTGCTTCAGGAAAGATGTATTGTGTTGGAAACCCTTGATGGGGCTGAGAAAGAACTTGGTGACAGTGGGTTTTTGTAGCTATATTTTTTATATATGCACAATTACAACATGCTCACACATAGCAACACAGATTATGGATCAGCATTTTAAAAACAATAGAAAACCTGAAATAAGATGTAAGGCTTCTGAAAAGTTATTACATATATTCTCAGCAGTAAATTATCAGTGGAAAGATAACTAAAATTAGTATGTAAATTAGCTCAAGGAAAATTCTTTAAAGCCAAATGACCAACATCTACTTAAGACTTTTAATTCAGGTAATTTACATGAACATGCTTGTTTGTAATGCACAATATTATAAAGTTCCCCATGCTGCTCTCCCATGTGTATACACATTTGCATGAAGATTTACTGTTTAATCATGTTGATTTGGGGTTGGCTATAGTTGGAGTCCTGTAGGATCATCTAACTTTACAACCTCCTTTTCAAAGTTTAATTCTCCTAATATGTTTATTCACTTACTGCCAATTCCAACTCAGAGCAACCATATAGGACGGGGTTTCTGAGACCGTTTGGGGGAGTAGAAAGCCTTGACTTACTCTGTGAGGAGCAGC